TAGATATTTAATTATTCTTAAGTATCTTACTATATTTTAATTACTCTGCTTTCTAACTATATCAGGGATAATCATTCTATTAGTCACTCTGTTTCTTAATCAGAAAATATAATATTACTTTTGCTAATTATGATAAGTGAAATGAGTATTTTCAAAACCTTTCTGTTATACTTTATCTTGAAAATAATACCATTATATTCTAATTTTGTAATTGTAGAATAATTTTACATTTACTTTGTCTTGCCATCAAATATTAATTATGACTTAAAGGTACGCTTTTAGCTACTTATTTATCTAGAGGGAAAATGAGTTCAGTTGTTAAAAACAACTGGTAGAGGAAAGTTGTATTTCTTTGCCATTTGTAAAAAGGTTAGCAGTAGCAGCTTAAAAAGAGGAAAAGAAACAAGATTTCAGAAATAATTAAGAAATTTTAATAAAATATATAAAGACATGCAGTTCAAGTCCCCCAGTAGCTCCATGAGAAAATGATGCGCCATCTCCTCTGTGCAATTTACTGCCTCTGGATGGTCAGCTGTAAGTCTGTTCTCACTTGAAGGTACACGACAACAATTAAAACCACCACCAAAAGAACATACTAATCTGCTTTGGAGGGGGGGTAATTAGTGTGTTTCTAGAGGCAAGGATGGTTAAACTTCATCTCATATATACTTTGGACATGTTGTCAGGAGATACCAGTTCTGGAAAAAAAGACATCATGCTTGGAAAAATGGAGTTTCAAAGAAAGTGAGAGAAGTATTATTTAGATGAGATAAATTGACACAGTAACTGCAACAATAGACTTTAGCATAGTAGAGAGTGTGAGGAAGGTGCAGGATTATGGGCAAGATTTCCATCTATTTTTCAGAGGGTTTCTATGAATCAACTCTATAATCTGGTGAGAGTTGAGTCTGGCAAATTCCCCAGATTATGTTTTCTTGTTATAGTGTACAGGTAAGCAGCTACATAAATTGAAGTTTAATAATACTTGGAGTAAGAGAAAAAGAAAGGGTTTGATTTTGTTTTGTTTTTCCGGTAGATGTGACAGAAACACCACCCCCTTAAGAACAAAAGCTAAAGCAAAAACTTATTATGGTACTTCAGAATAAAGTAAATATATTTAAAATTAAAGAATAATAATTAAGTACATACAAATAACCCTCAAGGAAAATAAAAAATTTATTTGAAAAGAAATTATTTATTAACTAGAACTTGCAATATTGTGAGCTTTCTCTGTTAATTTAAATATATCTTCATAAAATACTGTTATAGCAGAGATATAATCACTTTATATTTTCTTTATATAAATAAAAATGCTGAGTTATTTGAATAATTAATGGTTATACAATAATATGTAAATGATTCAAAAAATTTAAAACATTTGATAGCTTTAAGTGCGCCAATATTGTTATTGCTGTTGTTGTTAAGTGCTGTCGAGTCATAGGCAACTCAAAGCGACCCTATGGACAAAAGACCTGAATGCTGTATAAGTTTCATTGTTTCTCCAGGTTAATAGGTTTTCCAGAGGCAAATTTTGCAAGTTGATGCCACTACTGCGTCCAAACTTGTTTTAATCTGGGAACTCCACCAAACACTGTCCACCATGGGTAACCATTATCACATTTGACACATCAAGGTCACAGTGTTCAGCATCACAACAACCATGAGTTACCTCGTACAGTAAATGAATAGACCAGGGCTATATGACTTAGAAGAATGTTTGACCAAAAACAATTAAATCCAGGCCTCCAGGCCGTGGGGTAAAGTCACCCACCTGTGGCTTGGTAGCGTCACTTTCTATCCACTACACCAACTGAGATCTCTCTATGTTGTTGTGTGAATATTACTGAAGGACAATATAACATATATAAATATACTTATACATGTAAAGTAAATTCAGTAAAATACTGTTATTGTTTACCTATCTATTTTTGAAAATATTTTTGTACGTTGTCTTATGACCTCTATGGATAGTCTTTTTGGGTCTTCACTAATTTTAGTTTTTCTTCATTCTGTATGATTCAAAGGAAAAATTGTTGTTGTTAAGTGTGATCAAGTCTAATTGAACTCGTACCTTATAAACAGATCCCTGTCCTGTACTGTGGCATCTTCATATCTGACACACTTGAGCCCATTAGTGAAATCACTGTGTCAATCTACCTCATCAAGGATCTTCCTCACTTTTGCTTACTGTCCACCTAAGAATGATGTCCCTTTCCAAGGAACAACATCTCCTAGCAACATGCTTAAAGTATGTGAGATGTAGCTTTACCATGCTTGCCTCTGTAGGAGCATGATGTAAGAGTAAGCCGAATAATAGTTGTTTTCTATTACCTTAAATCAGTTGTATAATTGTTGTTCTTGTTGGGTACCATCGAGTTAGAACTGACCTGTAGATGACCCTCTGGTGGGTTTTCAGAGTTAATTGAATAGGAGTAGATTGTCTGTCTTTATCCAACATTTGTGGAGTAGGTCTATTATAACATCTGATAAGTTGATTAGTGTCATTAGTGTGAAAAAATTCACTTTATGTTCATATTCAATGTTTGTAGATGTGAAACTAATGTCTACTCAGTAATTATTTGATTATAACTTCAAAAGATGTGATTATAATTCAATTAAATAATCAGGCTAAGGTAAAAAATAAAACAGAATAATTGGATAATAACATTCTGAGTGATGATTGTAATGTTTATATGACTATTCTTTGTCATTTTAAGGAGGAAGATTTGCTATTCAACTATATTAATTATGAGACTTTTCAACAGCAGTAATTTCCAATTTTTCCTGCTTTCTGGTTTTTCTGGCTTGGAAGTTTATCATCCTCAGCTCTCCATTCTCTTCTGTGCCTTATATCTAATTGCCATTATTGGAAATAGTACTATATTGATGGTAATCTGGGTGGAACAATCTCTGCATGAACCCATGTACCTTTTTCTATCAATGCTTGCCATCAGTGACTTGGGTCTCTGTGCCACCACTTTACCTACAATACTTAGGATTTTCTGGTTCAATAATCGTGAAATATACTTTGATGCATGCCTTGCCCAGATGTATTTTATCCACATTTTCTCCATGATAGAGTCAGGCATCTTACTGTCAATGGCTTTTGACCGCTATATAGCCATCTCCAATCCTCTCAGATATACTACTATCCTGAGCAGTGCTAACATTGTGAAAATTTCTCTAGGGTTTGTGTTAAGGGCATTTATTATCCTAATTCCAGCCCCTGTCCTCATCAAGCAATTAAAATTTTGTCAAGCCAATGTACTTTCCCACTCTTATTGTCTACATCCAGATATTATTAAGCTCTCCTGTTCTGACCATCGTGTTAACAGCTTTTTAGGTCTTACTGTCATAATCATCACATTTGGGGTTGACTCTGTGCTCATCCTGCTATCTTACGTGAAAATTCTGACCACAGTGCTGAGTATTGCCTCCCAGGAGGAAAGAGTCAAGGCCCTCAATACTTGTGTTTCCCACATCTGTGCTGTGCTGTTGGTCTACGTTCCTATGTTGGGAGTATCCATCATTCACCGCTTTGGGAAGTATGTTCCATCTATTGTTCATATCATCATGGGCTATGTCTATTTGTTGGTGCCTCCTGTTCTCAATCCAGTTGTCTACTGCATCAAGACCCGTGAGATACGTATACGTATTCTGGGGCTTTGCCAGAAAATACCAAGCAATAAATGTTAGCTGGGAGTTTGATTTGCAGATAATGATTTTGAAGATGCCTGGGTTTTGTGCCTAATAATAAAATAAATAAATAAATAAATATATATTCTGGCCATGAAAAAAGTTTGTTAACCCAGTATGTTAATGATTTTTAAAAACCTCTAAACGCTTAAAAATCATAAAAGAATAATATATAAATTTATATACTTTGCATTAATTAACCAGGAATGCAAAGAAGTAATATTCTAGCAGAATTCTTATGTTCATAACTCCATTTCTAAACAAAACTCCATAACTTATCCAATTTTGTTCTTCTTTCTAAACAGAACATCATATCTTATCCATTTTTATGCATTACAACATTTGGAAAATATTTTTAAGTTTTATTTATGTTTAAGCTTACTTGTTTTATGTCTTTCATCAGTTGTGAAACTTTCTTTCAGAAGACCTTTTATGAAGTAGGTTGACATAGTGATCACAGCAATTTTGAAGGCAAAATTTTTTTTGTTGTACATAAGATGTCTCTGAGTTGAACCTGACTCAAAGGACAACAGTCCACAACAATCCACCGCAATAATCACTTAAACTAGCTAAAATTGGATTCAATTGTGAATAAAAATAATACACACATAATAAACAACTGAAGAAGACCTGAAGCACCTGCTGCAGAGTGTCAAGGACTGCAGCCTACAATATGGATTGAGGCTCAATGTCAAGAAGACAAAGATTCTCACCACTGGACCAATTGGCAGCATCAGGATGGATGGTGAAGAGATTGAGATTGTACACAGCTTTAGTTTTCTTGGCTCCATAGTCAACAGTCTTGGCACCAGCAGCCAGGAAATTAAAAGGCGCATTGCCATGGGAAAGTCTGCTGTTAGGGACCTCTTCAAAGTACTGAAGAGCAATGGTGTCTCTCTGGAGACTAAGGTGCGTCTGATACAGGCCATGGTCTTCGCAATCACTTGTTATGCATCAGAGAGTTGGACAATGACCAGGAAGGATAGAAGGAGAATTGATGCCTTTGAGCTGTGGTGCTGGAGAAGAGTATTGGGAATACCATGGACTGCTAGGAAAACAAACAGATTTGTCCTGGAAAGGGTTAAACCAGGTGGCTCCTTGGAGGCAAGGATTCTGAGGCTCCGTCTAACATATTTTGGACATGTTGTGAGGAGAGACCAGTCCTTAGAGAGGGACATCATGCTTGGGAGGGTGGAGGGACGGCGCAGGAGAGGAAGGCCCTCTATGAGGTGGATTGATTCAGTGACTGAGATAATTGGGATGGGTGTGTCGAAGACAGTGCAATTGGCACAGGACAGAGCGGAGTTTAGGGCTGTTGTACACAGAGTTGCTATGAGTCGCAGGCGACTCGACGGCACATAAGAACAACAACAACAATAAACAATGAATTATAAAAGATAAATTAAAATTACAAAACAAAAATTTACAAACAAAAATCAATCCAAAGCAAATGTTTCTCACATGTTTACCAGAAAACCAATTCCTATTTTTCTTTTCTTGTCTTATCTGACTTGTTACCTTGTGACATAAGATTACTACACAAACTACTATTGACTAAGAATAGGGTAAGAATAATAGGAATTTTATTTTTATTTTAAGATTTTTCTTATCCATGAAACCAAATACTAAACAACTCAACACCTATGGAAACAGAAGTCAAGACAGCAAACAACATACTGCATTAAGCAAAGCTGCTGTTATGAACTTCTGAATAGCAAGGATGTTAGTTAAAAAACTAAGGTGTATGGGGGAGGAGTGGGCAGAGAGAAATGTGCAACAGTGAATGAGTGGAAATCCAAAGTCTCTGTAAATTTTCATTAAAAGGAATAATTTTTTTTAAAAAAAAAGCAACCCCAAAACAAAAAACTAAGGTGTACAGAATGCAAGTTACAGCATTTTCAACTGCTTCATGCTTGTGGAAATTTGGGCAGTGAATAAGGAAGACAAAAGAACTGCTAGTACTTTTGAATTATGGTGTTGCCAAAAACATTGAGCATACCACTGAATGGCAAAATAACAGCAACAAAAAAAATCTTTTTGGGAGAAGGTGGAACAAGAATGCTCCTTCTAGGCAAAGATAGTGCGATTTCATTTCACATATTTTCGGTCATGTTGTCAGGAGGTACGCAACCTTAGAAAAAGGACATCAAAAGTAGAAAGTTGGTGAAAGAAAAGAAGCCCCTCAGTGAAATGGACTGACACAATGGCTGCCGCAATGGACTTGATAGAGAATGGTGGAGACTGTGAGGATGTTTCAGGAAAGGGCAAGGTTTTTTATCTATTGTTCATAGACTTGCTTGGAATTACAGTGGACTTGACAGCATCTGTTAACAACAAAACCCATAAACTGCAAGAGTCGGAAGAAACTGCTCTATATCATGGACAATTTTACTTGCCTTGATCTAATAAAAACAAAACAACCCTGTCAAATCACTGTTTTCTAATTTAAACTTCATTAGGGACCTCTCCAAAATGCTAACAAGCAATGATGCTAGTTTGAAGACTAAAGTGCAGCTGCTCAGGCCATGATATTCTCAGTTACCTGAGACACCTGGACAATGAATAAAGATGACAATGTATCAATCCATTTCATTGAGAGTTTTCTTCTCTTTTGCTAAACCTCCATTTTTGATATATTTTTCCAAGGACTAGTGCCTCTTGACAATGTGACCAAAAGTATGAGAGGTGAAATTTACCATCCTTGCCTATAAGAAGTATTCTTGCATTAAGCAAGTCAGTTGTTATGTGTGGTTGAGTTGCTTGTGGCTCATAGCGACCCTATGTACAATACTGTTGAGACCTGCTCTATTTTGAGCCAAGCTTATTGTCTCCGACACACCTACCCAGTGACTGAATCAATCTATCTCAAAGAGGTTCTTCCCCTCCGGGTCTGTCCCTCTACCCTTACAAGCATAATGTCCCTCTCCAAAGACGGGTCCCTCTTTGCATTTTGCCCAAAATATGTTAACTTGAGCTTCAGAATCCTTGTCTCCAAGGAGCACTTGGTTTAACCCTCTCTAGGAACTCTAAAAAAAGTGCTGAAGAGCAATGATGTCAGTTTGAAGACTAAGACACACCTATTCAGGTCTTCTTCTTCTATTTTTTTTTAAATACTGGTTACATACAATGTTCATAAAGTTTATATACATTGTTTTTCACACCAGATCTTTCTCTTTTCATTTACCCATCCCTCCATCCACCAATTAAATTATGTAACTCTATGATTAAGCCCCCTCTTGGACCCTTGACCCTTGTATTTATTCTACAATAATGGTCTTATGCAGTATTTATCATTATGAGGCTTAGTTAGTTCACTTAGCATAATACTCTTCAGTCCATCCCATGTTAGGTAGTAATTTACAAAATAATTGCCCCTGCATGCTGCATAGTATTTCATTATGTGAATATACCACAATTTCTCAATTCTTTTGATTTTGGTTGGGCATTTGGGCTGTTTCCATGTTCCTGTGATGGTGAAAAATGCTGCTATGAACACTGTTGTACAAGTCTCTGTTTGTGTTTCAGTTGTTATTTTCTCAGGGTATATTCCAAGCAGTGGAATAGCTGGGTCATATAGAATTTCTCTTTTCAGCTTTTTTTTGGGATGGTTTAAAAGATCTTTTATTGCCCAGGATAAATTTTTTTGTGTCTTATTTTGTGTATGCTGATTGTTGTTTTTGTTTTCCTTTTTAAAATAACTATAAATTCAAGTTTACGGAAGCTTGCCTTTGCCTTAAAGGAAAAAAAAACCCCAAATGAAGTTTTATTATCATATGCTAACCTGATCTTATTTAAAGAGAGGAACGGTAGTTATCTCACAAGAGTATAATTTATACCATCAATGATACAGATCTAAATCGTGTGGTGACTAAAAGGGAATGACAACATTATTGACAAAATTATAATCTGCTGGTGGCATATCTGCGGAAAAGAAGCCCTTGTAATTTCTAAACAACAGTAAACTCTGTTAGGAAATTCTAAAGTGTCATACAGGCCAAAAAGGGAATGAGGTTAGTAAAGTGCCTCAAGAGAGTTTGAAAAAAATACTGGATTTCAAGTTACTGGAACTTGGATACATAAAAATAGGGTGGTAAATTGGGTCATGCTTGCAATAGTCTCAAGTTCAAATAAACTAATGTGACAATGACACCACTTCACAGGTCACACGTATTTCCAGGGGCTCTTCCTTCCCTCAGTAGGTGCTGGCAGAAGGCGTGCTCAGTCGTTTTCCAATGTAGATGCCTAGTCCCAAAGCCAAAACATGAGAAATGAAGAGAGATGGAATGAACACCTTAAGAAACTCTGCAGAGAATATCCCCCCTTTCTTCACGGCTCCACTTTTTCTCATGCTTAAAGAAACAGAACGTTTAGGGTGCCCGAAGTGGAACTCCTTAGGTGGAATGTTTTCAGGTCTACTGGACCAGTCAGATACCCACTCAACACTTTTCTTCAATGCCTCAACTTCTTTCTCTCCTTCTGTAGCTTCCTCTTCTGACTGAGAGCTATGGTCCCTGCTGGTATGCATTTCTACATCAAACATAATTTGTCCATCTTCTTGTGGGGAAGGGCTGTCACAGTGAGAACTGCCCCTTGAACTACTCTGTCCTGATTCATGTTGGGCATCCAAAAGGATCTTCTCCATGTCTCCATTGTGAATAGAGGATGAGGAAGGTACATGTTCTAGCCCACCATTTTTCCCATTGCCATTATCATTGCCATTGCTGCTATTCATCGCTAGCTCCACCCAGGAACTGTTGAGGCCGGCTGGAGGCTGCAAAGACTGCTCGCTTTCTTCGCAGTTATTGTTGTTGTTGTGCAGGGGTGGCGGCTGCTCTACTAAATTAGACGACATTGTCAGGTGGCTGTAAGATCTGCTGCCGCTGCAGGACTGTGTCTGGTTCTCCGCAGCAACACAAGCCGAGTCCCCGCCCCCTTTTCTGCGCGTGCGCAGGCCCTCCCCTAACGTGACCTCTTTTCAGCTTTTTGAGGAAACACCAAAC